CCTTGTTTCTCTCTGTCACCTTTCTAGGTAGGATCTTACTTTTTTATCCCCTAGATTTTGGTTTTGGTTTTGCAATGCTGGGCCTTGAACCCAGGGCCTTGAACATGCTAGACAAATGCTCTACTGCCGAAACACACATTTAACCCCAGCATCTATTTCTTTTTTTTTTTTCTCAACATTTATTTATTGTGTGTGTGAGTCTGTGTGGCTGTGTGTATGTGTGTGGGGGCACATGCACACCATAGCATGGGTAGGAGCCAGAGGACAACTTGTAGGAGTCAGTTCTGTCCTTCCACGGTGTGGGTCGAGGGGATTGAACTCAGGGCGTCAGGTGTGATGACAAGCACCTGTACTTGCTAAACCATCTTGTGCACCCCAGCATCTGTTCTTACACAGCCTCTTCCCAGACTCAGCTCCACATCTGACCAACTCCTAAGCCAAGAAGACTCCCTGAGAGCTCAAGAAAAAGTCTTTGTGAGACTGTTACTGACTATAGTTAACCTACCTTGGATCATGCCCCCTCCCCTAAGGAGATAGAAAGCACTGATTGCTAGACCTAGGCCAAATCAACTCTAGTTCAGCAACCCCCACCTCCTCCCCAAGTTCAAAACACAGATTAGAAGTGAAAGGGGTACAGGGCTGGAAAGATGGCTCAGTGGCTAAGAGTACTGACTGCTCTTGCAGAGGACCCAGGTTCAATTCCTAGCACCCATGTGGCAACTAGCAACCATCCATGTCTCTAGTTCTAGGGGATCCGATACCCTCTTCTGACACTGCATGACACGGGTACACTTACATACATGCAGGCAATACACTCATACACATAAAATAAAAATCTTTAAATTTTAAAAAGAAATGAAAGGAGTGGAGAGTCCAGAGTTAAATCAGGTATTGTTACCAATGAGTCAATGCTTAGTGCCACCCTCTGCCCCTGAAAAGGATATTTACCTTTATATTGTGTCTGTCAAGGGAAAGTAGTCTTCAATACCTCACATCACATTGATTACCAGGGCTGACTTGGCTGATCTTGGCTCCCTTTCCTATCTCCATCATCTCCTTGAATTATTTTTTAAAGCAGGAAAGTTGTCCTTCCACAATAGTATTAAATGTTCAACTGGACCTCTGTTGGCAGAGCGCCATCTCCAAGACCCAGTCATGGATCCATCCAGAAATGAACTTGCCCCATAATTCAGTCCACAGACCTTTATCTAGAAAAAATATATTCTAAATAAACAAATATACTCTAATCTGCTCTAAATAAACAAAACTGACCAATAGATCCATAGACTTTATGTACTTAGACTTTATGTCAATGACCTGGATGATCTGCATGTGGGTGCTTTGATATCCTCAGAGTAGCATCCCTATCCAAAAGGGGGTGAGGGAGCAGGTTTCCTGAACTGTCTATGAGAGCACAGTGCTCTTTGTTCACAGTGGTTTAAATCATATCCTTAAAATTTGTCAGCCTAGCAAGGAGTGGTGGTACACACCTGTAATTCCAGCACTTAGGATGGGGAGGCAAGAGAATCAGGAGTTCAAGGACAGCCTCAATATGAAGTGAGCTTGAGGTCAACCTGGGCCACACAAGACCTTTTCTTTATAAAAGCAATAAAAACAAAAATTTTGTCAGTGTAGGGGCTGGGGAGATGATTCAGTGGATAAAATGCTTGTTGTGCAAGCATGAGGACCTGAGTTTGGATCCCCAACATTCACATCAAAAGACAGATATGGTAACATGCATCTATAAATCGCAGCACTGGGGAGGCAGAGGCAAGCAGATTCTTAGAGCTCACTGGCCAGTCAGTCTGTCAATCAGCTCCAAGTTCAGTGAGAGACTCTGTTTCAAAACATAAGGCAGGAAGTGATAGAGGAAGACACCTGATGTCAGTCTCTGGCTGGTGCACCTGCACACACACACATGCGAACACATATACACACATGTGAACACATATACACACATGTACACACATGATCAGACTAATATCAGGCAATTTGGAGTTCACCTCCAAACCCTAATCTTCCCTCATTAGAAATCAGGTCACAAAAACAGTGTCAGTTGTACAAATCCTCTCATGGCAATCCAGGTCCACAAGGACTCATTCTGACAACACATCAACAGGGCCTGGCCAGAAGGAAAATCCTCACACACAAAAAAGCACATTTTGGGTTCAGACACATGGACTGGCCATTTTGTAGGTGAATAATGGTCAGATATCAACCATTTGATGGGGTCAAAGGTCAAACATGACTATGCTAACACAGGAAGGATTAGTCTTCTCTTTTGTCTTTTTTTTTTTTTTTTTTTTTTTTTTTTTTTTCAGACAGCATCTCCCTATAGCCCCAGCTGGCCTGGAACTCACTATCTAGAACAGACCAGGCTGGCCTTGCACCGGGGTATGTGCACACACGTACACACAGGCACACAATAAATACATAAATAAATTTTACAAGAAAGCGCAATGGTAGGTGTCTTTATCTTCTGTTGCTATCACACAATACCAAAGACTGGGTAAGTCACAAAGAAAAGTTGATTTAGTCTCTCAGTTCTGGACCAGGTTCAAGGAGCTACAGGTGGCCTTCTCGCTGGCAGAGTCCCAGGTGATACAGGGCATCACACGGCAAGAAAGTGGAAAGGCCGTGTGTGTCTGGATAGTCACCCTCCTTTTGTTTGTTTATTTGTTTGTTTGTTTGTTTGTTTTTGAGGCAGGCTCTCAGTAGGTAGCCTTCACTGGCCTCAAACTCACAATCTTCCTGCTTCTGCTCCTGGGCTAATGCCAGGGTTACAGGTATGGATCACCATGCCCAGCCCACTCTCCTTATAAAGCTACAAGTTTTCAATCATGGGGCTCCACCCTGATGACTTAGTCCTAATCACCTCCAAGGCCCCACCTCTAAACACCGTGGTCAGATTAAGAAGGTGGAAAGGCACCCTGTCTACGCCTGGCAGTGGGGATTCACTCCAGTGTGAGTTTCAGGGGGAGGAGGGGCAGACCATCTTCAAGCCAGGCAGGGGGTCACATTATTCAAAGCTAGAATTCCTTCACTGCCTTCAACTGGCAATGGACCAGATGCAGAAGCACACAGGCTGTGCACTTGTTAGCAGGTCAGGCATCAAAGGATTCACAAATACACTACACAGTGCCCTTTTATGTTTTTTTGTTCTGGAAAGATTTTTTTCTTTTTGTAAAAGCATTTTACCTATGGCAGTATGTAAGGGACTTGTTACTACGTGATGACTTTGGAAATATTTTAATTTTTATTTATTCTGTGGAGTGTGTGGGAGCAGGTATGCTCGACTTTTTTGTGGTGTGGAGGTCAGGTATCTTCTATCACCCAACACCTTATTTTTTGATACAGGGTTTCTTACTGAATCTAGAGCTTATGGTTGGGGCTCAAGTGTCTGGCCAGCGAGCCCTCAGAATCCACCTGCCAGGCCTCCCCAAGACTAGGATTACAGGCACATGACACCACGCCCACTTTTACAAGGATGCTGGGGATCTGAATTCAGTTCCTCATGTTTGTATAACAAGCACTTTGCCCCCTGAGCCATCTCCTCAGTCCTTTGGATCTTCTTCCTCCCCTTCCAAGTGCTGGGTTACAGGTACATACCTCCACATCCAGCTGTGTGCTTTTCTCTGGAAAGCTGCATTAGGTATAACCATGGAAGCAAAGCTCTGGGATCTTCAATAATTTTTAAAGGTGTGAATGATGCCCGTAATGCAAACTTAGATAATCCCTGTGTTGGGGTCATCCACTCAGAACTAACTATGAAACGAAACACTGGTTTACTGGAAAGAAAGCAGCTGAACTGTTACCACATGTGCACCCTTGACCTAGTAGGAAGAGAAGGTGGATTGAAGGGAAGGCAGCAAATATTACCAGAAGCAGCTGTCCTGAGTCTGTTTTCTGTTGTGAAAACCACAACACCGCAGGCTGGATAAATTAGAAAGAAGAGTTTGTTTTGGCTGTGAGCTCTGATCCAAGGTCAAGGGATCCTGCACCTGGTGATGTCCTTCTTGCTGGCAGAGAGTCCCAGAACCCTGCTGGGACTTGTGCTGAAACTTGGGAGCTCCAGGGTGACCTAACCAAACTGCTTATAAAAGCAGATCTAGTCAGTCTAGAGATGACCATTAATCCATTGCAGTAGGTTAACACATTCCTGAGGACAGAGCTCTGATCACCTCTTAAAACATCTCCCTTTTTTTTCCAGCCAAATCTAATCTGGACAAGACAAGCCATCTCTGCCCATAATACAGGAGTGACTGGCAGTTATCTCAGGCTAGACCATAAACGTGGTGGGCTTACTGGGAAAGAGACCCAAACCTCCAGGTGGGCAGTTGGATATTTACCTCAGAAGTGGAGCCTACTGAAAGTGACCTTGGAGCAGGTGGCTGAGGTAAAGGAAAGGTCACTGGCAAAGCAGAGATGAGGGGATTTAGAGGTCCCGTCTGGACACCAAAAAGTTCTGGATAGGCTAGCAGTACCGGCTTCCCTGAAACCCGCAATTTGTGCAGGGGAGTCTGTACCTGTAGGGACCGGGATGCGACGGGTAGAGTATCAAGGTGTGTGTGCGCGGGAGAGATCCCCGCGTTGGGGAAAACCAAGGTTCAAGCTTGTGATGCGTACAAAGAGTGCGGGACACAGAGGAGGGTTGTGGATGCCCTTGTGTGCTAGGACTGGGGCACGCTTGCGGGGAGGCCGACGTGGCCTGTGGGACAAGACAGGATGCTGGCCTGGAGCTTGAGAGGTGGGGTACGGTGTTCCGGGGGGAGCAGGAACCCTGCAGGTGGCCCGACTGACCGGCAGCAGGCTCCGCCCTCAAGTGCTCCGGGACAGTCCCCCCCCCCCCCCCCCCCCCCCCCCCTCCCCCCGCCCAGCCCCCCCCGCGCGCTCACACACC